AAAAATGGGGTTTCAGATACCTTTTTTTGATTCGTGGCAATGCAATATCACAAGAATAATCTTTTGTCAGAAGTTCATCAATAACCTCATCAACATGTGTCAAGGTGAAGCCTGATAAGATTGGAGCAAGGGAAGCACAACATTAGTATGACATAAAATGTATATTCTGTACAAAGATCATACTCAATAGAGCTAAGGAAGTCTTACGCCCATCAGATGATTTGAACCGTAGCTTTCGGTAATCATTGTACAGAGGTTCCAAGTAACGGTAAACATCAATGTCTGTCCCTGTAAGTCGCAAATAAAAAGCTCCAAGCGCTCGAACATATCTGTCATGAGACAGTACCGTCGATCAGTCCTGAGAAATGCATTTGTTGTTCTGATAAAGTAAATGTAAACAATAGCATTAAGTGATATAAACAATGATACCACAGGAAATAACACACAGAATATAGATGCAACATTATAGCAAAATGAATGAACGCTCTTGCACAATATGGAATGGAACTGTTGAAATTCAAGTATGCATCACAAACAATATTTAATTGTACGCAAAAAAGAATCACAAGAAACAGAATAACCCTATTCATACGCATAAATACAATAATTTATTAGACTATCAATTATCCTTCAGCACAAGAAGGGTCAATCAATTAATTTTCAAAATTTGACAAAAATCAATGGGGGTTATTACTTGTATTCGGGATTTTTGATAAACTCAACGACAATTTCCTTGTCGGGCTGGATCTGAAGCATCTTCATAACGAGGCACAAGAAAGGAGTGGGCTTGCGGTTGCCGCCGTGAGTACCACCCAAATGGTCGATCTCCATGGCCTTGTCAACAAGGGTCTCGGCAGTGAGTCCAAAGCATTGCTCTTTCCAGTAAGTGTTCTGGTATATCTTAGAACGCACTATCTTCTCCACCAGGTTCTGCGGGTTCGTCCCCTTTATGCTTTTCGCTAGCGGGTCCGTCCTGTTCGCCATTCTTGCACTTCAGTTACCTGAATATATGTAGGTAATATATATATATTTGAAGGATTT